GGAATATTTGGAGAGGAGGTGATCTAAAATCAGGGAATATTTTGAGATTCTCACCAAAGTGAGAATTTAACTGAAGCACCACAACATGACCAAACACCCACCTTTCTTCCCCAGGACCAAAAAACCTGACGTGCAGCTTTCCAAAAAATCAATTTGGGATTTTGGCAGCCAGCAGGAACCCGATTTTCAGTGAAAGCAAATAAGCCCCCCTGCTAATTTTCCTGCTCCAAATGTTTCCCATCTGCCCATTAAAATGTTCTGGCACATCTCCTGCTTTCTTCAGCTTTGGTGGCCACTCCTCAAAACACAACTAGTTGGAAGTACAACCATCTCCCTGATACTCTGGGCATCACCAAACTGGGTTTTTTTGGAAGAGAGACAGAAAATGTTTCATCAGAACATTTAAGAGGCAGTTCAAATCAACATTTCCTTTATTTATCAAGGCCATCACATCACCTGGAGAAACCCTCTGGTGTTTGCCCTTCAGTTTGGTTTGGAGCCTCCTCTCTAAGTGGCAAAAGTCTCTATTATAAATAATTTCACCCCATTCAGGCAACATTAAGGTTTTTTCTTCTCTCCTCTTTTCACACCCCCAGCCTGCATTCCCTGCTTTCAGGTTCTCCTCTGGTAAGGTCAGTGTAACCTCTCTTTTCCTGCTTAATGTAGCTCAACAATCCATATTAAAATGTGGAAGCAATTAGCAGCACAGCTTCACACGTTGCCTTCACACCACTCTTATTTTTGTGATAAGTTATGAATACTTGGGGTCCAACCTTTTCTCAGGCTGAACTCTCACTGAATTACACATGAAGAGAGACTCTCAGAAAAAGCCCTTCAATTTATTTTTAAATAATGAGCCTTTAAAGCTCTCCACAAATCCCACTTCAGCTGCACATTCTCCTACCTTGTTCACCAAAAGGAAGCTTAAAAAAAAAAACCAACATGTAAAACACACTGATGGATCAAAATGTGGACACTTATAAGTAAAAATAGTTCCATTAAACAACCTCTGTCTGGAAGCAGGAGACACTGAGATTTCAATCCTGCACTCCAAAATGTCCTTCTGAAAAGAGTCATGTGGGAAAACCCTCAGCCAACAGAAAACCTCATCTAAGAGAGTCATAGAAGCAGAGAGAACCTAAAGCACACACTGAGTTCACTTCAGACTGAATCCCTGTTCAATACATTAATTTAAAGTGTTTCACTGACCTGGCACACCATTATCATGGACTGCAGTGACAGGAGCCAAATTAGGTCAGCAAAACAATCCTGGGGCCAGGAGGAATCTCACAAGACATTCCCACTCCTGCCCTTGCAAGGAAGATGATCAACTACACCCACATTTGGGAGCAGGGGAAGGAATGAAGAGCAAACCTTTAAGAAGGAACTTCCCCCTTGGCAGCCCAAATTGGTTCTACTTTATAATTCAGTCTTACAGTGGCAACACCTCTTGTAGCTATGCTGGAAAATGCACCTTTCCCAACAGGAATTGACAACAAAAGGCAGCTACTCTGAGGGATCTGGACAATCCATCACTTGTACAATTCCTAATGCAAATAAACACCCACATGATCATCCACCTTCAGAGGGGAACATCAAAGCCAAGTCTGGGAGTGTAACACAGATTGATGACAAACCAGGCCTGGGGCCTCCTCTGAGATCAGGGCAAAACCACTCCAATACATATTGACCAAAACTAATAAGAAAACTTAAATATCAAAAGGTCCTTCACCCTCCCGGTCATTCTTCAAGGTGGGACCAAAAGGTCACACCACTCTCTGTTTGGTTTGACCTCTGCAAAGCTTCCTGCACTCTGGGAAAACAGGCCACTGGCTACAGCTGATTTCAAATTTAGTACAATTGATCTCTGCCTTCAGAGTGCTGAGCTTGGTCCATAAATCCTACAGTGAACTCTTACCCTTGGAAAGCATCAGAACGGTCTCGTTTTCTTTGAAAATGCTAAATGAATTTCCAAAACCAGAAGGGTCGGTCAGGGTAAATGTCTACTGCTCCTTAAAGCTGGTTTTAAAAGCTGGGACTTTGTCATGGTTTGAGATAGCCCCAAAATCCAATTCCCTAGCTCCATTCCCCCTCCCACATCTCAACCCAATGTGAGATGGATTTTTCCAGACAAAACACAACCTGGCTGCACAGAGCCAGGAAAAAAAAATTAAAATAAAAATAAATTTGGTGCCTAATTTGCAAAGTTGAGGTGCAGCAAACCACAGAGGAAGTACAGGACAGGAGAGCAAAGAACTAATCTGGTGCTGCAGGGAGAGAGCAGCTCAAACAAGTCCCCAGGCACGAGGTGCCACAGTTATTTTTACTGGCACGGCACTGAAGGGTGAGAACTGAAAATGTAGGAAGATCCAGGGCCGTGGAGTTCATGTGCATTCACACAACACAACTGAGCTGGGAAACAGCACCAAAATTCGTATTCTGTGAGCAAAAAGGAAGCTGATGAATCACCCAGACTGCTCAGGAGGCGGCTGGAGGCCAACGGATCAAACCGGGAGCAGATCAGATGGAAAGGTGTGAGCTCAGCAGCCCTCAGGACTTCAAACACCTGAGAGAAACATGCCCAGACAATAAATGAACAGGGGCACCACAGAGCTTTGCACTTCACTCCCACCTCTCAGTCTGCTTTTTAACGGCTGCTGTTCTCCAAGAGAACCCACAGAAAACGCGTGGCCGGTACGGCACAGCCTGGGACACGGGAATTGGGATTGGATGGGCCACTGGATGGCCCAGTCAGGCCAGAGGGCCTTGGAATCAGGCCCAGCTCAGGATTAGAATCATGGAATGGTTTGGGTTGGAAAGGCACTTAAAGACCATCCAGTGCCACCTCCTGCCATGGGCAGGGACACCTTCCACTAGCCCAGGTTGCTAAAAGCCCTGTCCAACCGGGCCTTGGACACTTCCAGGAATCCAGGGGCAGCCACAAGTTCTCTGGGTAACCTGGGCCTCCCCATCCTCCCAGCCAGGAATTCCTTCCCAATATCCCGTCTAATCCTGCCCTCTGGCACTGGGAAGCCATTCCCTGTGTCCTGTCCCTCCATCCCTTGTCCCCAGTCCCTCTCCAGCTCTCCTGGAGCCCCTTTAGGCCCTGCAAGGGGCTCTCAGCTCTCCCTGGAGCCTTCTCTTCTCCAGGTGAACATTCCCAGCTCTCCCAGCCTGGCTCCAGAGCAGAGGGGCTCCAGCCCTTGGAGCAGCTCCGAGGCCTCCTCTGGACTCTGTTCCAACAGGTCTTTCTTGTGTTGGGGGCCCCAGGG